ACACAGTTTCAGAAGGAGGGGCAAACCGCTCGAAAGAGACTAGAAAATGTCGACGGAAGACTAGAGAAGTAGAAAGAAGGGGCAAACCGCTCCAGAAGAAACCTGAGAATTTCAGAAGAAGGAGAAAACCGTTCGAAAGAGACTCGAAAATTCCGAAACAGAGTAGAATACTTGACAGGGAGCAAACCGCTCGACAAGAACTTGAGAATTTCAGAACAAGGAGCAAACCGCTCGAAAGAAACAAAGGAGCAAGAGTAACTAGAGAAATTCAGAACAAGGAGCAAACCGCTGGAAAGGGACTAAAGAATTCCAAAAGAGACTACAGAGTTGAAAGCAAGGAGCAAACCGCTCAAAAGGGGCTAGGAATTATTCAGAACTAGGAGCAAACCGCTCGAAAGAGACTAGAGAATTTCAGGAAGAGAACAGCAAAGTGCTCGAAAGAGGCGAGAGACTTTTGACGACGAATGAAAAGTTCGCAAACCAGGAGCAAAACGAATTAGAGATTTCAGTGCAAGGAGCAAACCGCTCGAAAGAGTCTAGCGAATTTGGAAAGAGACCCGGGAATTTGAAAGCATCGAGCAAGCCGCTTTGAAAGAACTATAGAGAGTTTCAGAAGAAGGAGCAAAGCGCCCGAAAGACGCTTTTGAATTTCGAAAGAGACTAGAGAATCTGACAACAAACAGCAAACCGCTCCGAACAAACTATATAGAGAGTTGCAGAACCAGGAGCAATCCGCCCGAACGAGGCTGGAGACTTTCGATTACAGTAGAGAGTTTGAAGCGGTTTAAATTCGAATCCAATCCATTTGGATGCGATGTCGACGCCCCGCCCAGGCATGGAATAGACTTGAGTTTTATCCTTTTCTAAGTTCGAAATCCTGCCTCATCCACGTTAAAACCTGAACCTTTAAACCCAAAAAACCCAAAATCCGAACTAGGGTTTGAGGTTAGGGGTTATCGGGAGGTTGAGCCGGTTGAGCCCCGGCCCGTTTGCCCAAGGTTTCCGAATGCCCGCTGGAGGAACGAGCTCGCCTGGCAAAGTCGGGTCTGGGCCCTGCGCCGGATGGGGTCCAAGGATTAGGGGAGTAGGGATCAGGTTCCAGGGTCCCGAAATTGGGGAAATTGGGGGGGGGGGGAGAAGGTAGTACATCATTATTGCTAGGGCTTACAAGGGTTTGGGGATCAGGGTCGAGAATAAGGTTTGCGGATTAGGGCTTCTAGCATTCAGGGTCTTTGACCAGGCGTGGCCACTAATTTGCCCTTGCAGCTTTGAGGTTTGGGGCGATAGTTTCGGAGAGAACATCCTCGGTGTACCGACGCCCGAACCTTGAGGTTTTTCAGCGTTGCAGGTATCTTCGACCCTCAAGACCCTAAAGCTAGCTCCGACGCCGAAAAAGCCATAAAACCCAGGCCCGAGGCTCTGCGATTTATGGCTTCGTCGCCAGCGCCCGGGGGTTAGGTTTGCCTTGGATCCCCTCGAAGTGCCAGTCAACAGGTCCGGCCCGTCAGATCCAGCACAAGCGCCGTGCTGACAAGGCTCCGCAGACGATTCGAACCGGGAATCGTAAAGGCTTTAGGGTTTAGGGCCAGTTTAGGGCTTCGGGTTTATGGTTTAGGGTTTAGGGATTCGGGTTTAGGACAGAACCCGGCCCTAAACTTACCCTTGAGGACGAGCTCTGAGCGCTAGGCCGACAGTTCGGGTTTGTAGCATGGGGAACCGACACCTCAATGTTGAGCCTTGAAGCCCTGGAGCCTGGCTCCCCAAACCCTTAAAAACCTCTACTGTAAGTGCCTGTCTTCTTGGGCTGAAGACCACATGTAAGCCCGCATTGATCTTTTGCATCATGTTCTTTCCGTTGTTGGGCATGTCGAGAGCCTAAGCGTTTTGGACGGTGCAGCATCTGATAGGGACCTACAACTCTGTTCCCATCGCTCCATGCCTTACTATTTTGGTGTGTCTGATTATAAGGCCCTGTCTTATGCCCTTGAGCGTTGCCTCTCAAGGCCTTTCAAGTTGCATACCAGAACCTGAAGCGTTAAGTGCCGACCGTCGAATACTGGAAGAAGCACCTTGTGCCCAGAAACGTGCAGAAACATGATTTGAAGTCAAGTTTTCCCTAGATCTTGGACCTTAGGTCTTAGATCCTAAACCTTTCGAGCCTTGAATCCGAAGGGAGAAGACGGATTCAAAATGGAAGCTCGACGATGTCTTCGCGTCGGCGCTGGTTGTGGGAACCGGCGTCGGAGGTCTTTCGGCGGTCATGGGAGACTGTTTGGGCGGCATTGGGTCTAGGGCTTAGGGCTGCGATTTAGAGTTTCGGCTTCTTGGTTCAAGCTCTCAATTAGGATACCTCCTGAGACCGCTTCAGACTTACATTAAGCAGTGCGACTGCTTAATTTGCATCATACTGATCAAGACTTCCTGTGCTGTACGCAGCATGAAGAAAGCCAATGCCTGCTGGGCCCGGACCCTTTATGTATGTATGCATGTATGTATGTATGTAGGTAGGTAGGTAGGTAGGTAGGTAGGTAGGTATGTGCGTATGTGTATGTATGTATGT